ACAGAACCCAGCATAGAAAAAGATGCTTCGACTACTGCAGTACATGTAGCAGAGTGTGTAGTACAGCTGAGCAGACGGTGAGTTGGTTCTGAAATTCTCCCGTTTCAATGTGCCTCTAAAATCACATCTGTACCTGTATCTATATAAACAAGCTCTGGTGGATTCATCAATAAGAGCGATCACCGACACATCTGATGGGTTGTTGATATAAAACATTGATTAGCTTTCATGTATTCCCTATATGCAATCATCCCGATAGTATTCCTAAATATTTTACCAATGCTCATAATGTTGTGTTAAATCTTTTCACCTGTGCGACTCTGTCAAACTTATTTAAAATCATGGAAGACCGATACCGTTTCCCTCATTTGACTATCGGTTTATTCGTGTCGAGACGGTGGGATTAGTGTTGCTAGCTTTCTTTAAGGCATCACAAACGCCCATCACATCAGAGGCTCTGATCTGTAAGACTTTCTAGACTCTCGACTCCAACAGTACTACTCTCAGTTATAAAAAAAGATCAAAGAGAGTGTGCAAGGGTTGGCTTGTTAAAGTCAAACTCCACCTTAAATCAGAATTCATACACACCGTTCTTATGATCAAAGACTTACGGCAGTAGACATAAACAACTCTCTAATAAAGTCTGAAGCCACAAAGTCAAGTCGTGGCCCAAATGTGTGATACTAATAACTGTAAAATAAACATCATGCCTCACTAACATTATGTATGTTGGAAATTTCATGACCAAAGGGGCCATTTCAGTACAGACGGTAATAAAGCACCAACTCTGTCCTACACCTGCCAATATCCCAGCTTACTGGATAACATAAGGCTGTGATCGGGTTGCTTATGGATCGCACTTTCACAAACTCACAGACACACATTCTCATCCCAAAGTCTCTCTTGCTATCTTCCTTCCTGCTCAATCTGAAGAATTCACTGAACCACCGCACAATTTATCAACTGTCAGCTGCAGACATCTGCAACATGCGCACACATTCACACAGGGGCTGAAATGCTGATGATGTGCCTCAGACCGATATGTCAAACATTTGGCGGAGAGGGAAGGAGGAGGACCACACACAGACCAAAAGCAAAAACAAAAAAGGCCTTAAACAGCTCTAAATACGGGATAAAGCAACGTTTGGCTTTTGAAAATATTGAAGGTTGACTCCGTGATCAGCACTGGCATCATGCAGCTTCCTAAACTTCTTGAATTCATGCAGCTAATCCCACATTTTGTACCTGAGTGCATCTTCCAGTCTGGATATCTTCCTCTTGGCCTCTGTTCTCTCTTTCTCTGCCTCACTGTGAAGCGCTGAAACCTGAGAGAGCAGAAGAGGGGCAGAGGGAGGTGTAAGTGAGCGCAAAGGCAGACACCATCAAACATCACTCAGGAAAACCCTCCTGCCTGTGACCTTGTGCATCTGGGCTCGTCTCTTCTCTCTATCACCCCATCAAAAGTACCATCTGAGCCCATGAGCCTGCTCACAGGGCCTCTCGCTCTGGACCTATGGGAGCCATATGGGCCCTTCTAACGTCCACACACTGTGCTGTGGTATCCTTCACGTGTCTCCTTTAGCAGTGCTCAGGAGTGGAAGAGGAATCTTTCCAGAGCAGGCCAAAAGGAAAATGAACAACAGACTTTTTTCATTGTTTTCCTCCCCCGTCACCTTGTAGAAGAAAGACGGAAATAAAAAAGGAAAGGCTGGACAAATGCAAGTTGATCACAAGGACAGAATAAAAAAAGGACATCAAAACCAAAGTCGTGAGAGGAGCTGTGTTTAAATTCTCCCTGACCCTGAGCAGAGAGCACACATGCCTGCTAAGCTTTTGCAGGTGTGGGTCACATGGCCCAGGTATGCCAGCCTGCCCCCAACACACACATTATCAACATGGCACTTTGAAGATGACCCAGGTCTTTAAACACAATCTGCACCGCAGAAGTTTGGCCTGGCCTGGTCTGGCCCACTTAGATCATTAACAATGGTCCATATACTCGCTGCTTTATTGCTGCTCTACAGCTTTCAAAAGGCTCTCTGTAGAGTAAAGGCTGCAGGTACAATTAAGTGTAGACAAAAACCTGCTCTTTAGCGTTGTGAAAGTTTATTGGGCTTTGCTTGTAATCCATTCTCAACTTTTTTTGTTTGATAACTCTTGTGCTAAATTATCAAGTTACTTTCTTCCTAATTCAGTCCTCCACCGACCTGTTAGTCAGAGCTACGGCTTTACGAGACCAGACATAAAGCGTAAAAAACCATAAGGCACATGTGACTCCAGGCTTTGATCTCTACTTGACCGTAATCGCTTTGTTCAGGGTTGTTCCAATGTAATGACAGAAGCCATGGAGCTCAGCGGACACGTCTTCCTGATGAAGCTAGGACACGCTACCTTTTTCTCACAGCTGATCAGCACTTGATCTTTTTCCTGCTGAAACTTTATCTCCTGATCCTGAAAAGAAACAGGGATTGAATGATATTGTAAGGCACAGATGTCGCACAGGCTCCAGTAAACAAAAGACAAGCTGAAGACACCTTGGCATGCGCACATATAAGTGATCAAACATGCATACGCTAGCATCACCACCAGGATCATACCCTGACTTGTTGCTGTCTTCGATGTTCACTGTCCTGGAGCTGCTGTTTGATCTGACTCACAGCTTTCTCCAGCTCCTCTATCAGCTCAGAGGCCTGAAAGAGAGGGAGGATGGATTTAGTAAAATAGTTTTGTCTTGCATCAGTCAGTAGCAGCACATGTGCTGCAGGAAGAGCTGTGTGGCTGTGTTGTGGTGACGTGAACCTTCGCAGCAGACAGATTGTGCTCCTGATGTAAATGGCTCATGTCAGTCTCGTGCTTGGCTTGGAGCTGCTGCATGGTCTGCTGATGCTGCTCACGCTGCTGCTCCTTCTCCTTCTGCAGGATCATAATCCTGAACGCAGCAGAGAGCTGGGATCAGACGGCACGTCGGGTTTCTGAATGCACACATTGAACTGTTCCTGCTCAAACACCGACTAAATAATGAGATGAGTGGTCACGATCCACTGCATCACATCCTCTCTGATAGTAGCATGTTATTACAGAGCAGACATTCAATAGATTTAGAGCACATTTTGACAGCTTTATAAAAAAAGCATGTTTGTTTTAAACAGCTATCCATGTTACATGTTGAGCAGCTGCATACCGCCTGTCAGCCTCCTGCAGCTCAGCGCTGAGGGATGCCAGGTGGATCTCCAACTGGGCCTTCTCCTGAGTCACCTTCTGACGCAGCGCGTTGCCTTTCTCTACCTCCACCGACTGCTGTTTCACCCGCAGCTCCAGCTCGCGCACCGTTTGCTCCTGAAACACAAAGACGCAGAAAAACCAATGAGACAAGTGGCGCAAACCACAAAGAGCAGCAGCTAGAGGACTAGTTGGAGGCTTAAACGTCGTCGATCGTCATCAAGTCAGACAGAAATCTGGTTGTAAATATGGAAGAATGATGCTGATGATGCCCTCTGACTTCATTCTCCACCATACACCACACTCATTCTAAAATGATTTAGTAAAATGTTTGAAGTTTCTCCATCATTACACAGATATAGTTCTGGGTTCTTATATCAAGTCAACTCTTAGAGGATGCTCTGCACTGAGATTCTCCAAAGATACGGAGTCGGCAGAAGCAAAAGCATCTCTACAAACTTCTACAAATTTCTACAATCTCTACAAACCAAAGGTCAGACCAGCAGAAACTCCCTCACTGCTGCTCAGATGGCATCAGGTGAAAACCTCCTGAAAGCCTCCTGTGTTGTTTATGTTGGTGTTGTTCCTTCAGGTGACAAAGCTCAGCTGGAGCCATTTCTGCAGTCGACTACAATTTTAAATCGTTTCCCTGATTCTAACATCTGAAACGAGTCATAGCAGGACCTCAACTGAACTCGCTTCATTGTTCAACTAAACCTGTACCTTCACCTGGTGTGTGTGTGAAGGCTGCAGCTGGATTAGCCCACACTGTCTCTGTTGAGTTATATCTGTGCTGTTAATGTCAAAAGCTCAATCAGGAGTCAGAATTTCAATAAGGACAGCAATCAAAGTCCAGCTGACAGCTTCTTCCGGCACCGGTTTGATGAAAAAGAAACGTCCCTTCTCGGCCGACTGTCCCTCAACACGCACATGTGCGCGGCTACGACGGGCTGGAATGCAGCGTGGGCAGCTGATAGAGGTGATGATGGGCCGCTGATTAAAGATGGAGCGCGCTGGTCGATCTAGACGATGACAGAGGCCGGCGATGACAGAAGGTGGAACGGCGGGAGGGGAGGCAGCAGGTTGTTTGAATAGAGGACGAGAGCGGTGGCCGGCGAGGCTGCTCAGACAGATTTCTGTCTTTGTGTTTGCAGCGTTGGGCGTCGGGAGAAGGAACAAGGAGCCTGTGTTGTGCTGCGACGCGTGCTGACACTTAGCTCTCTGGCAGGAGATGAGAAGAAGTACGTCTCCATATTGAAACTGGACGGGGCACACCTGGACACACTCAGTGGGAGCAAATCACATCTCCTAATTAGGTGCTTTAGAGGCAGAATTACTTGGTGTGAAGTGCAGACTCTATGAGCTGCGTTATGAGCTACACTCCCCTTCAAAGCTTTGGAAGCCATAAAGTCTTTGAAGATCGGCGGGAGAAGAAAAACATGTAAGTTGAAACAAAAACTTCATGCGGTGTGATGGATGACCTTTTTTTGTAGGCCAGGAAGGCCGTCTGCACCGTCACTCATCTCACAGAGCTGTGTGTATTCATGCACACCGTGGTTCAAACTCTAGCGCTGCAGGAAGGGCAATAAGAGGAGCAACAGAAAGACTGAGATCAGTAAGAAAGGGGGGAAATCCTGCATTCAGCATATATTTAAACTGATGTAGTTTCTCTTTATGTCTTTTGTTAAAGCCAGTTCTGGGTTTAGCTTCTGTTTTGTCTTGGGGGTTTTTCACCATCATCTACTAACTATAGAGAAGTACCTCAAAATGCACCTTGAAACAAACCGAACTTTTAGGTGAGAATCGGTTATAATTTTCTCTTTCAACTCATTAATCTTTGCTGTCGCCTTTTATTCCTGTAAAGAACTTTGTGATGCGTTCTATTAGTATAAAAAATGCACCTTTAAGTTTGTTTGGTGCTGCTATCGTAGCACATATGAAAGAAAAGAAAACACCATTTCACAATATGAAAATGATCTTCATTAACAGTGCTTTGGTGCCGACGTGCACAGACGGCTGTCAGGAGCTCGTCTGGAGCGACACCTCGGCAGATTCCAGCTTGTCTTTATTTTCAGTCACTCTACCTGCTCTGCCCTGTGCATAGGCAACATCCAAAAATAACAACATCTGACATATGTGTGAGCCCCTGTGATCTCTGCTGGATAGAAACCCAACCAGGTAGCGGTGGGCAGACGAGCCTTCTTCATGTCACTGTTATTAAACCAGATCCGCGGTGCTGTATTTGAAGGGGAATGAATCATCGATCTGAGTTTGTCTTGGCTTGCATGTGTTATATGTGAACTTCTCACTACTGTGTCCTTGGTGTGAACTGAGCATCTTCCCCCTATTGTTGGTGGAGGAGGTGCAGTCATGTCATTGAATGTCCAGATGCTCAGAACACCAGAAACTCACTGCTACTGGGTCAAAGTGTTAAAGGCTGAATCTTCTAAAAGAAGAAAATGTCTGGATATTGATCAACAGAGCAACATGGACCAAACATGAACACAACCTGAATACCGAAGGGTTAGAGACACAAAAGGTGCTGCAGCAACGCACCTGCGATAAAGTCCACTGTGAACGTCCTCAGTGTGTGTGTAGGGCGGCCCAGCCGGCAGCTAATTTACAGCGACAGGGGGCTCTTTTCATTCTCTTGGACCTTGTCTGTCCTTAATTATTAAAAAAGGGGCCTTACCATCCAGTGTTTGATGCCTCTTAAATGTGGGCCTGTTGACAGATTAAGGCCAGGAGCAATAGGTGTGTGTGTGTGTGTGTGTGTGTGTGGTGCATATCAGCCCATGAATGCTGATACTGATAACAATACTATTTATGAAGCAGAGCATCGACTGGCCTCTGGTGTTGATGATCCCGACTAATGAAATGTGCACAATCCCATTTAAAACCAAAGTCCTTTTATATGACATCAAAGAAAGTGCAGCTTTGGGAGGCATGCATGTGTGCACGCACGTCCTCCAGCACAATCAGAGCAACGGCTAAGACTTAATACGTACTCGGATCAAAGACCTTCCCAGAGATGACAGACACATCATATGAGAGTCATTCTCACCCAGAGGTTAGACGACGTCTCCTTTCATTTCAGTCATGGAGCGGCGCAGGTCACTGTTTTACCATCAGACATGTGACAGATGTGTACATTTAGAGCTAAACAACGCAAGAGTTTTATGCAAAGCTGCATCCCTCTAGTCAGCCACAATCCTGTTTGTTCCGGTGAAAGTCTGCTGCTGAGCGCACACCAAGCGTCTGAAGGCTTGAATCCCCTGCTGCTGTTCAGGATGCATCTCTGAAAGCTGCTCATTGTCCTGTTGGTGCAAGTCGAGGTCACACGCTGACCAAACAAAGTCAAATTATGTCACGTGAAGTCTGGATCAACTTTCAGCTTGATGTCGTTATCGTGCATTAAAAAGTGCATTTCACCAAGATCGATATCTAAACAACACATAGAGGTGGAAGAACTCTAATCCTTCACAAATTAAAGTCCCACTTTTAAAATTCTACTTGAATATGATCAGCACGACAGTATATCCACAGTGACTTGAA